TTACTCCGTCACAGTTCTGTTGAGCCTTGGCCCTTTCTGCGCTGCAAGCGTAGGGGGGAGGTAAGGTCCCTTCTGGGACCACGTTTGGGAAACCTGTCGTGGGTCGTGTGGGCGATGAGTGGCTTTCGTCACCTTCGGTCAACTCGTAACTCCACACATGGTGTGGAGTCGAGGGCTGCTGTTCGTTAGGATAGGAACCGCGAGGAAGACAACCTCTGTAAAAAATCACCCATGGGGGAATTTGGAGGTCTCCCAGAGTAGGGTTCGCCTGAAAGTTGTGTGAAGGCGGACAACCGGCCCGGCTTGCTGTGGGTGTTAAACGGTACCATGCCGACGCCGATTGTCGGTGGTGTAGAAGCATCGTGGGTGGTTTTAGTCGGTAGGCCTTTTGGAGAGTCCGACATAACCCACCGGTTCCCCCAAACCAGTGGGTATGCGTAACGCATTTCCCCCACGTTAAAAAAAAAAAGTTTGGAACTGCTACCATCACAGAAAATGTTTATCCGGTAAATATAAGTATTTTAAAATACAGACGAAGGTGTCCATTTATTGTAAGAATATATATCGCTGATAACTAATATTATTTTAAAAGAGAGAGAAATAAAAAACAAGTTTTAAAAATTAAACCCACTTCAAAAAAAACGTAATAAAGAGAAACGACTGAAAAGACAGAAATAACACCACAATTTTTTTTCTTTAATGAAATCGAAACACTAAAACTGGATACACCAACAATTTATTGAGGTTTCTTGAGGTTGTTAGTTTATCCACTTTTTGTTTTTCATTATAGAGCATAAACGAAAAAATTAATGCTTAAATACTTTCAAAATATGGGTGCTCCGTAATTTTTCAAAAATAAAATTCGATATTTAGACGATACTCGGTCCCTTTTTAAGCTGTTTCATTCATTTATATATATATTTATAGGGAATTTAATCCTAAACTATAATGTCACGTGAATCATAAAATGTTTAGACCCTCGCGTTCAGAGAGTTATAAGGGTGAAGGGCTGACATTTTTTCCTTTGAAACTATTTTTTATTTCATTGAAACTTCAAAATATAAATGAAGTTAATTCTTGATGGACTATGATGATTAATTTTTATTAGAAATGAATATATTCGGTTTGAGTATGTCTATTTTCTAGGCTACACGACACGGTATAGGTAGAACTAAACGACAAAACTTCTTATGGTATGTATGTTAACAATATAAAGCAATGAAGCTTCGCATGATAAATATTTATTTTATAAACTATGGTCACTATAAAAATATAATAGAGATCAGAAATGAAATAAAAGCTAAGCAAAAATAAATATATTTCAATAATTATTGGTAACTTATGTTGGAGAAACATTCAGATATCGGCGCCGTCCGGCAAGAAAATTCTTTTTTTATCGACAGCTTGTGACCGGACCGAGGTGGTCTCATTTAAATTTTATCGAATTCGAATCAGTAATTTTCCTTGAATATCAAAACAAAATATACTTTTCATCAGATATTACCTAAATATTTTGATATTTACATCTGCGAAAAAAATCCAAAAGGAAGTTTTTCTGCGTTCACCGGTCATATTTATTTTTTATTTAAGTAGGTATTATCGATGTCCTCTTGAACTGTAAACTAATTTCTATCAAACTAACTAGGACATCAAACATATAATACATTTGTACCGACTGAAAATTTTCTTCCGTCCAGTACTAAGGTTGTCCTCGTACAAGCACTTATTCATCCCCTCTTTTATTATGCTGATATTTGTTTTTCTAACATGAACCAAATATTTCTTGACAGATTGAATCGTCATCTGAATAATACTATACGCTTCGTTTTCGGTCTACGAAAATACGACCATATTACTGAATTTCGTAATCAACTGAAATGGTTGCCCATCCGAACGCAGGTTCTTAAGAATAGTATGTACTCTCTTCAAAATTCTTTACGATCCACATACTCCTGAGTATTTGAAATCTAGGTTTCAATTCTTAGGAGTTTCACATCCGAAGGAACTTCGCTCCAGGTGCAATCTTGTACTTCAAACTCCTGCTCACCATACTCGGTTTGTCTCGGATTCTTTTACCCTCACAGACATAAGACTTTTGAATGCACTTCCTTTGAATATCCGGAATGTATCAAACAGTTTCGTATTTAAGAGAGAAGTACGAGAATATTATCTCCAATCAATTCGTGTGTCCTAGTCTTCATTTATCAGTATGTATATATATATATATATTTGTATGTTTATGTGTTTTTTTTATAAGATTATAGTGTGTATGTATATATTGTATTTGTATAATTTGTCGGTATTATTAGTTATCAATTGTAACTTTGTTCTTTTATGATACCGCCTTTTGAATGCTCTGTAGGTACACCTTCACCGGTTTGACTGGTAGAGAATGCCTTTTTGGCATTAAGTCCGCCATTGCTATGTTATAGGCATAAAAATTAAAAAAATAAAATAAAATAAATAAATAAATAAAACGAGTATTTATCTCAGCAACATATTCAAGAAACTGCTATTGAAGTCATAAATACCCTACAATAAACCTCCGCCTGACTTCAATAGCAGTTTCCTGAATAAGTCACTTTTAAAATAAGTATTATTTAAAATTTTATTCTTTATATAGGTTCCCTGCTTCCGAACTTAGAAACACTTTGGCTAAATAGAAATAATGAAATGGTAAATCGAATAATTTGACCGAATATCCGTTTGGTAAAACTAAAAATTAAAATAAAAAATACTGTTCGGTACTCGGTTAAACCACTTTTTATATTTATTTTGTAATATATGATTACTAGCTTTCCCCAACATACAAAATAATCCTGGCATACGATTTAATAATCCTGTTTGGACTTATATGGCTACTATAATGGTTTCAGAATATGCCACTGCACTTATATCAGCATACGTGAATCCTGTTTTTACTCAAGTACGCTTATTTCTACAATAGGGACTTATATCGGTATATAGGATCACAATTCATGGCTACTACTGGACTAAACCTCCTATAAGAGCAAGTATTAAGAGTTATTATTCTCAAGAGGAACTACTCCGATAACACAGACTTATATGCGCATATAAGACAACGCTTTAAGTGCATTTGCGCTAGGCAAAAATGCACTTTATAGGCGTTTGTCATATGCCGATATAAGCCTAGGTAGATTTATATGGGTATGAAATACTAGTGCTATTGTCTAAGAAATCTTCAAACAATCCTGGCTAGAACTCTTTAAAGGCCTTTTTCTGGAAACATCTGATATAGTCGAAAACATGATTTGAATAGTTTCCCAAATCGTACTATAGGATTTGCGAATCAGCCATTAAAATCACGATTGTTACTAAATATTAACATAAGCCCCCTGATGAGACAGTAATAATTGTAGAACCCTAATTGTGGAACCCTAATTGGTAACAACATGGCGAATTTGCTTTGGTGTTGGAACTTACCATTGTAGAACTAAATTAACCTTTATCAATCCTATATCATACTCGGAAAAGGTCACCCAATAAAATGGCGACTTTTCCTAACATTTGTTGATAAATAAATGAATACAAAAAGTGTTAAGAAAACCAAGATAAAGTTTACAGAAAATTCATATTCCCCAGCAAACAGACAACACAAATACTAAGAACAATAGAATATGTTTTTCTACTATGGTTGACAATATTTCTAGTTATCTTATTAATAAATACCACTTAGGTACCTTTGCTCAAACTTTTTAATTTTTCACATAACAATTTGACAATTCACTGAAACACTAGGTGTATACTTAGTAGAGGCAAAGCTAGGCCCGAGTTAATCTCACTTTTTACTATAGTGGATTTATATTGTCATTTTCAGGTAAAAGTACACCTGCGTAATCCCTATATAGGAGCAATTTAATCCAAAGTGGCATGGCTGCGGCCTGATATAATCGCGCTGTAAGCAAGGGTAGACTTATAAAGTGGGCCCCTTTCCGGGGTTATATAGCTTTTTATTGGTTGGGTCGCCAGCGGTTTCGCACGCGTAGTCCCTAGTTAAATGTTTAGTGGTATAAAAAGTATCCTATTATCTAAGTCACCTATACCCTATCTGTATACCAAATTTCATCAAAATCCGTTCAGTAGTTTCGGCTTGAATGACGGACAAACATCCAAACACCCAAACAAAAAAACATTCACATTTATAATAATTTTTATTTTTATGAATTTTTATGAAAAAAATTTTTATGAATATATTACTTTAATAATAACCTCATTTTTTGAAGTCGGTTAAAAAAGTATAAACCTTTTTTTCGGAAGTCTTTAGTTTTTATGCTATTTGATGTTGAAACAATAAAAAAAAATTACGACAAACAAAATTTCCTTCAATTAATCATAAATCGCTTAGTTTGAGCTGTAATTTTATTGTAATTTAATTTTGATACTAATATTTTTTCCATAAAACGTTATTTTTTTAAATTATTTATGAAAATTGGTAAAAAAAAACGTTCGTTTTTTGACATTTTCAATCGCGAATAACTTGAAAACTATTAGGTTATCGGAGAAACTTTATTCTTTATTTTGTGCTCAACATAAGTTGCGGTTATTTTTCACTCCCGAGATGGGTTAGCATTCACCCCTAGGGCAAAGGCGCATTTCGGCACTAAGTCAATTTCAAATTTTTCAATGCAGTTAAAAACAGAAAACTAATATTTTTTCTAACAAAAACTTCATATTACGTACGCCCTTCTACTTCTTTTCTTTTACGGATTACGGACAGTCCCATCGTAGCCTATAATGTGAATGAAATTTAAAATTTGTTGGAGTTCGTTTTTAACCCTTTCTCTAATTTTGGCGCCCCGCTATCACTGGCGCCAGCGGCATGTACCTATGACTGACTTGGGCTATTAGGAATTGTCAAACAAGAACTATATTATTCTCTTCAATAAAACACTCGTTTTTAAAGGCGAAATAACATTTTAGTTAGTACCTATATATATATATTTGGGCAACATATCTTATAAATTAAAATGTCTACATTTAGTTACAGTGGTCTTTTTTATTAAATAAAAAAAATACATCATTTTCAGTTCTATAAGTACATTCAACAATTTTAGTAAACCTTTATCAAATCAACGTTTAGTTGACCTGAGATCAGAAATAAATAAGATTGATGTGACATTGTCTATTTTTCTTTCCTTTCAAGAAACTGTCTGCTGCGAGTATCGAGGGAGGGGTTTGAAAATGGTAGATTTCACTTAAAACAATATACTTAAAATTATATTAAAGTCTACGATTTAACTTAATCCCTTAAGTAAGCTATCATAATCATGATTTATTATACATTCATAATGGAAAGTCTCTAAGTAAATTATATTTTTACAATAATTCTGAAACAGACCAACTATATTTAAATTAAAATAGGCAGACAATAATAATTATCGACTTTGATATTACAATCACGTTTAGTGGTTCCATAAAGAAATAGTATTACTTAATATTGTATGAGGAAAACCTGTATAACTTGCGTGTTCACACTCTATTCTCATTCTACTTAAACCCAATGAGAATACAGATCTTTTTAATTTTAAATAAGATAATTTTCATTTGTGACAACAGGCGTAACCGACAAAAGTCACAATAACATAAAGTGGTATGGAGAATCCTACTCAGCAAACGCACAAAATACACAATTTGTTGCATATCTATATTGTAATATTTTTATACATTGAATTTACATCTTAAGTTATACTGCATTTTGTTTTTTATTCATTAAAAATAACGTTCACACTTCATTAACTAAATTGTCACTATATCTCAGTATTCCAACATCAATAGTTTTAAATAATGAATGTTATTAGCTTAGAAATATTTACACAATACTGCTCAAGTCGCGGAAGTGCGGTACTGGCAAAGCAGTCTTGATGTAGTCGACGCACGCGGCACACTCCCTCAACGTTAACGTTATTTACCTTTAGCTGTAATCGTAAGGGAGGATTTTGCTGGTTGTGGAATTATAGTTATTTCGTCGCTTATCTTTAAAGGCTTAAGAAGGGAATCCGAATCCACAGGTTTAGCTGGAGTACTAGGCTTGCTTTTATCCATTACACGTTTTGCTACCACACTATGAGCAGAGTAAACATGATTCTCAAATTGCTTATACATACCGAATGTCGCTGTACACACAGTGCATTTGTACGACAGATGGGCTGGCTTGAGTGTCATGTTGTGGTCTCTTGATACATGATTAAGCAGTTTCCACTGATACACTCTACCACAAACAGGGCATCTTCCTGCATCTTTACCTTTATTTGCTGCTTCCTGCATGGAGCTGGTCACCAAACCGTGTGATCCCAACAGATGTCTCTCGAGTCCTTGGTCAGTAAAGAATCTAAACTGACACTTCTGACAATTTAGAGGTGGTCTGTTGTAAATCATCTTAGGATGAATTTTAACCTTGTGAATCCATTGCATGTGGTTTCTCAACTGTTCCAAATCTTTAATATAACCATCACAAATTTCACAGATCACAAATGTGGCCTTAGAATTTTGAGTTGATTGTGAGGATGAAGGTTGAGGAGCACGAGGTAATGGTGTAATTGAAATTTTAGGAGTAGCATTGTTGGTGGTTTGGTTGTTTTGTATTATGGGGTAATTTGAAATGGTAGTTCCTGCTGGTGGAGTATTATGCATTATCATAAGACCACTACGAATTATCGGCACACCAGACACAGTGGTAGGACGTGGGGGAGCTAAAGGTGGACGACCTCGGGGCCTTCCTAACATTGGCATTCCTGAGATAACATTTGAAACATTAAGAGGAGGTCGGCCTAAGTTATTCAAACCCACTTGAGCACGGTTGAATGAGGTCTGGTAAGGACTTACAATATTATTCCTGGCTCTTGTTAACTTTGGTATTTTTGCTGGTGGTTCCCACTCTAGCGGTGGACCGAGGTTAAACTCAGGTTTAAATTTTTTCGCACAAGCAATAAGATGCCTTGCCAATTTAGTTTTGCTGTTATCCTCAAAATGACAATTTGCACACTGCTGATAAGCTGGTGCTCTTTCTAGACGGCCACGAATATTGTGCTCTGCTTCCATGTGGAACAATATATCATGAGGGCTACGAATTTCGAATGCGCATGTGTTACATTTGTAAATATTATTACGCATATGAGGAGCTTCCAAGTGATGAGCCATAACTAACATGGACTCTGTTTTGAAACTACAAAACTCACATCGCTTCTGTTCAAGAGCATAAGGAGCATTGGTCCTTTTGCTGAAGTCCAAATTTTGTGTCAAAGAAGCTATAGCAGCTTCTGTGGCTCGAGTGCTACGGCCAGATTTCTTTTCTTTATATAATTTACGGTTTTGTTGCTTAAGCAAATCACTTTGCACAAATTCCTGTACTAAATTTAAACCTATATTTATAAAAAATTGTCCTAAGGAACAATCAAAGTAACTATCAGATTTACCTGATGACAAACCTTTAGCGATCAAACTTATAGGATCTTTGATCTCTTCAATAGTATCATCTTTATCTTTGATGATTTGAACACCTTCTTCATCACTAATAGCATCATCTTCTGACTCACTTGAAGATTCACCATCCCAAGAATCATCATCTTCATCTATACCACGTTTGCGTTTCCTTTTTTCAGGCTTCTTTTCCTTGGGTATTTCATCATCTGCACTTTTCACTTCCTTATCACTTTCCTCTTCTTCTGGTACTTCTTCACCTCTCTCAATCTTCTCTTTTTTTTCTTTTTCTTTCCGTTCTTTTTCTGCTTTTTCCTTTTCTGATTTCTCTTTGTCCTCTTTTATTTTAAGCTCTTCCAATTCCTTTCCTAGTTTATCAACAAATTCTCTAAATGGTTTAATAGATGGTTTTTCATAAACATAAGGAACTATGAAAGATGGAGCTTCAACAACAAACATATCGTCTGTCAGAGAGGGTAATATGTTAGGTTGTGGTTGAGGTGTTGCTGTATTATTTTGGGATGACGCATTTTGTGCACTTTTACTACTGACTGGAGTGATAGTGGTACCCCGAGCAGCAATACTTTGACATAAATTTTGAGCTTCTAAAGCACTGGTTGGTGTATTAACTTTACTTTGAACTGGTGTGGGACCTTTCCCAGACAGTATGGAGTTTGTATCTATAATGACAACAGTTGGCTCTTTGTTTTGATCACCATTAGATTTAGTTTGTTTGGACGCCAAGTCAGCCAAACTTTTTGTATCACTCACCACAATGGGTTTATTTTTACCCTGAGCCTGATTTAGGGGATCTTCCATCGACACTTCTTCCACATCAGATTCCTCATCACCATTTTCAAGTTGCTCTTCCATTTTTTTCTCTTCGATTGCCTTATGGCTGTGTTGCGAACCGTCAGAACTGTCATTACTGTCTGTACTGGAATTAGAAGATTCATCATCATTAGAATCCCCTCCATCATCATCATCATCACTCGTGATTTCGTGAACTTCTGGGCTGGGTGAACCCCCATTCTGACTCTGTGGTTCATTTTCGTTTTCATTCTCAGACTCACTACTGTCATCTTTTGGCTGGCTCCCTTGTGATGTATCATCATCACCTTCAGTCCGCTCATCTGTGGAAGCAAATAGATGAACAATCAATAATAACAGTATGTAGCAACAGTAAATATAAGTTGAATAATATTTGAAATAATGAACAGCCAAAACACTACCTTTATTGTTTAGTGTCGATAATTTTTTTAATCATATAAATAGAGCACGGTTACTAACAAACATTTTATAATAGGAGGACGCTAATCTCCAGAAAAAAATGAAAAAATGAAGTAACCTTAACGCGGCGAAACCATACGTAAAACCGTGTAGTTTACGCTGAATATGTTGGATTTATGAATTGATTATAATAATAAAGTAAATGCATTTGTCATATAGCGTCATTAAATCATGTGGTGTGTGGACCGCCATATGGGATTCCATAGCATTTCTCCGAAAACCCAACTCGATCAGGTTTGATGGTAAACACATACATACAGGTAATTGATTGTTTCAATAAACATGTATTTAACATTAAGAAGTACCTGTAGCAGTAGATATCGACATTATCTTGCGTTTTCGTAGTCTAAAACCAAAAAATAGCACAATAGCACAGTAGCGGAAACCAAACCAAATCAAGCTGTCATTTAAAAGGTTCTTTTAATGTCACTGTCTGACAACGTAATGAAAATTTTTAAGGATTCCATAAGTAATATGTTGTAAAATAGTTATAAAATAAAATTAATGATTAGTTGTAAATTAAATTCAATTCTGTAAATTTATTTAATAATAATCTAAACATTAACCGAACCATCATAATCAAATACAGTATAGTTTTTATTGTAATAAAAGTCGACTCGATAAAAAACTCTTACTTAAAAAAAGTAGGAATGGGAGGGAACACGGAGGGGGAAGGACGCGGTATTCCATATTGGAAAGATTGGAATAAAAAAGCGCTAAATTTAAATTCCAAATTCACTATTTCACTTTCACACAGTCCTTACAGTTGAAATAAATTCAAATGAAAAGTCTTCTCTCTTTATGAAGTTTTTCTTATATTTGATGTGTTTCTTAAGATTTTATATCATATTCTATAAAATTCATACAGTACCTGGATAACCGAGGTATGCTCATTCTTTTTATGTAAATCGTGTTATTATTGAAATATGAATGCGAATGAAATTAAAAACGATTTTATTTGATAAAAATGGGAGAAACAATAAAAAACAAACATTACAAAAAAGAAAATCATTTTTTTTAAATAGTAGGGTCATCTAGCGATACGAACTAAGTCTAACATTTTATTATTTTCGCTCGATTAACATTATGACAAAATTGAAAACCAAAATGACTGATAGAAATAAGGAAGTATTTAAAAAAAATGAAAACACTTAAAAAGCACCTCCAATAGATGGCGATTCTAGCAAAAGTTGATTTTTGCTGGAAACGAATAGACCAAAGACAGTCATTTCCGTTCCTTTTAACTGACATATTAAAAACTGAAATTTGAAAAATTCGAAACTTAGATATCAATACAAATACGAAAAAGTGCAAATAGATTATGAGTTGTTTATTGAGTTTTGAAAACTAATTTACTTTTAAACATGAAAGAAACCGGAGGGGTTGTCATGGAGAAATCAAGAATGTACCATAGCGACATCTAGTTTGATTTCGGGAACTAATATATATTTTTTTAATACAAGAAGTATTAATAATTTTAATAATTACATTGGAATAACAGCATCGGAAACTAAATGACACGATCGCTACGCTATGCTTCGCGATCGTCTTAAAATTTTTCGTTATATTTTGTTTTATTAAGAGCATTGGCTACCATTATTTAAATTTTAAAATGTTTAAAAAAAACAACATTTTTATGAATTTTTGAACTATACTAGATATCGATAAGTATATTCTACATCGTACTGATATGGGCAAAATTTGAGTTTTATAGTAGTAAGAGCTTTAAGCATTGCTCAATGATATTACAATAAAAAAGGGTAGATAGGTCATGTAAGTACTAATACGATGTCAAAAATTGTCCACAGCATATATATACATACGCACATGGCACGACACTTTCCAATTATTCATAGACTACAAGGGCGTTCGTGCACTACACTGAATTTTCAAGTCCGGCACTCCGATTTTTTCCGATATGTCCGGAATTTATCGGAACGGGCCGGAATGGAGAAAAGTAAACTACCGTACCGTTTCTTTCCGATCCGTGTTGGCAGCAATGAAAAACGTGTTTACACTTGTGCACTGCTGAGTCCGCAATCCGGAAAATTCATAAAAATCTAAATTGAAACAAGTAAAATCGATATTTGATTCGGCGATATTGTTGATATCCGATATATTTATAATCGGTATTTATTGTAAAAGATAAAATCGAATATTTATATGATGATTTAATAAAGTTGGTAAATATCACTGCATATGCCTTGGAAAACTCGGTATAGTTCAAATTTGATCATTGTATGCTTTTAATATCGATACTTTGCTAGAATCTAGAATTGTATTAAAATTATCAATCCCAAACCAATATCGGATCAAAAATATCGATAACTTAAGGTAACACAAATAAATGTTATTGTATTTGGTCATTGAACTAGTTTAAAAAATAACTAAAGTTAAATAAATCTAAAGATAAATGCCTAGAATAAATATGCATCCGAGAGTAATTAATTATTTCAAAAACAAAGAAAAAGTTAGTAGTAAATGACTTTTAACCATAAAAGTACACCAACCTTGTGATTAACGGTGTTTCAAAAACTATTACTAAGAAAACTTCTCTAATAATACATTCAAAATAAAAAAGAAATTGCAAATACTTTGATTGAAATTAGATATCTGCACTATTGCTCACATTAGTCTATGCAAGAAGGAGCGACAGAGACATAAAATCAACGACGATGTGTATTGAGAAACTTGGGTTTCTGATATGTCAGTAAGGTTCTGTAGATTAATTGCTTTGAAGTTTTGTTATTTTTTTCATAAAGCAGTGTTATTTTCACGAAACAATAAAATACGGACTTACACAATGATATTAATAATCTAAATATCTCGCTTGTTCTTAGTTTAAATGATAATTAAATAAAGGTTAGTTGTAATGGTAAGGTCTAATAATAAATAATATTTCTTTTCTTTACTAATTTAATCAATAATTTTTATGCCTTATAATTTTGTTAATGACTTGGTCTTAAATTAGGTAACCACTTTTAATATTATGGCCTTTTTTCTTTTGTAACCGTGAAAAGCGTAAATAAAATTGTAATAATAAGTAAACAGCCTAATTATCAATTCCGTCAGTAAAAAAAATAGTATAATAAGTTACATTGAAATTTCATCGTTTAATTACATAATAAAATAATGATTTCTTATTAGGTAGGTTACCTAACACAGAATTGATGACGCGGAACCCTAAATCGGTGCACTTTTGATTTAGGTACCTACATTGGTGTTCGAGTTGCAATAATTACCTATGTAGTTTTGGTCATCGCTTCAGTCGCGTCCGAGGCTTTCATCGGTGCACTTGTAAGTTTTCAGAATTTAGAAGGTCAACTTATGTTTTTGTTCTTTCGGGACTTTTGGTTTGTTTTTCATACTCGTTCTGTTTACCAGTGTGTTGTGTTTGTGTGCGGTCAGTGCAATGAGTTCGTACTCAAATGCCTAATATTACGAGATGATATTGTGTGTTTGTGCTTGTGACGGTAATCTTGCTGCGGCTCGGCAGCTTTATGACGAGCGCCACGTGTCAGGAAGATCTGAAAACTCTCGACGTCTTCCTTCTTACCGGTGCTTCGCGGCACTTGTGAATCGGTTACATACAACTGGTTCATTCCATAGTGTGATACAGGAAGGCCGGCCGAGCACCTATTCCATCGAGACAGAGGATATGATTTTACGTCAAGAGTAACACGGTCTGTGTCGAATCGAATGGAGATGTGTGTTTTATGCGGTGGCCGGCCGGATATATCGAGACCTTGGAGTGATAAAGTGGAGGTGAAGTGTAGGTAATGTTGACAAGTGAGAGCTGAGAGAGTGATTAGAACGCTGCCTGTTTAATCTTAAATTGTTTTAATTACAAGTAAATTCATACGCAGTCAAGTGCGTGCGTCGGCGACATCAAAGTGTATTCTAGGAAACGAGAGAGAGTGAGAGGTAATAAGAGAGAGAGTAGCATATTAATTGAAAATAAATTTTTCAAATATTTGTATGAAAATCTCAATTTACGTGAAATTGTTTTTTGACATATTATTTATGTTCTTTGTGCTAAGTTGTATGGCCTTGTTTCGGGATTATACATGTATTTCCAAACATCCTGTATACAGGAATATTTTTTTTCCAGTGCAAAAATTTTTTTTGGTGGTTCAGTATCAGTAATAGAACACTTTTCCATAATTAGTTAAAAAATTTTTTTTAAATATTTTTATCCCTATCGAAACGGTAGAATATGGACACATTTTTTAAAATAAAACTTCAATGAAAACATCTTCTCCTACGTATGCCACCGTGCAACCCCGCCGCGCCCGGTAGCCCCCCGCCACAGCCCCCACCGCCCCGCCGGGACCGAGCGACGCGCGCGACAGTGAGACTCATACACAGACTAGTAAGGAGATACTGGACTCATACGCACGCGCCGATGTGACGTGTCCTCGCGTTCCCGCGCACGAGACGCGCCCGCCGTCGTGAGTTTTACAAGATGTACGAGTTTATCTTCTGAGTGGTGAGAACCTACATAAGCGCAATTCGGAGAAAGTATGCGACGAAGAGCATACCTCGTATGCGGGCCTTTGGGATCCGTAACCCCGCGGTCCCTAATGCTTCGAACCATTTTAACAGACGAAGTCCCAGAGTCAGTACCCACGATGCGGCATATCTCTTTGGTGTGAGCCAGCCTGCGGTATTGAAGCTGCTAAAAACAGCCGGACTCCATCCGTACCACTTTCAGCCGGTTCAGCAGTTCCATGACCTAGACCCAGTACCACGTCGAGCCTTATGTGAGTGGCTTCTACATCACCGCGATGCAAACATCTTCTAGACGGATGAGGCATTGTTCACAAGTGAGAGACTGTTTCTTATGGGAAGAAGTCAAACGCCGAGATGTAGAGGAGGCACAAAGTCTAGAAGACTTAACAATAAAAAATAATAACGCTTTCAGTGAAGTGAAAAGTGACACTAGTGTTTTAAACAAATTAAATGAAAATTTAATGAAATGTGCACGTTTATGTCTGGACAGACGTGGACTTCATTTTGAACAAATATTAAAATACATAGTAAGTAACTAGTTAGGTATTTGTTTTGATTCAACATTATTGTAAATACGTAGTTGATTCTAATTTTTTTAAATACGCCTTAACGCAGAAGTACCTATGTAACTTCGGCATAACGTTAATATTTTTTTCTAGGTAACGAATTTGTTTCTCTTTTATTTTTTTGCATTTTGATGGCCTTAACCATAAAAGTATGAAGGGAAAATTGGAATTACTCTTAGAAATCACCTCAGATCATGGCATAAAATCTAGTTCGAATTTAACAAAATGAGCGTTCAGTGACCCGTGTAGATAGGTACCTACGAGTACATGCCTACGGCGTCGAGCGAGCGCTCAGCTGACGCACGGCGCACGGTGTCCATAAATTAAGTTTTAAAATCTCGATCTTTGATAAGCGATAACTTTATTTTTTAGTATTAGAACATATCAAAATAAAAAATACGTGTTTATTTAAATTACTTAAAGTTTATTTTCACAAAATCTTCGCAGTGGTTTTAAATTATTCCTGTTATTCCTATATAATATATATTATTCCTATATAATATATATTGGAGGAATCAAGAAAGTACCGTAGCGACATCTAGTTTGATTTCGGGAACTAATGTTTTTTTAAAAACACAACCTCGTTGTGATTTATATACAGGAATTTTTTTTTCCAGTGCGAGAATTGTTTTTGGTAATTCAGTATCAGTAATAGAACACTTTTCCATAATTTGTTTAATATTTTTATTAATATTTTATCCCTATTGAAACGGTAAAGTATGAACACATTTTTTAAAATAAAACTTCAATGAAATCCCCGCAACGGCCAGCAGCTGCAGCAGCAAAATAAAAAAAATTACTTACTACTTTTAAATTACTTAAAGTTTATTTTCACAAAATCTTCGCAGTGGTTTTAAATTATTCCTGTATTGTTCTTAATCTTTTTATTTGGGTAATCTCATTATATGATGTAATGAGGGACAAGGAGAATCGTTTAATTATTCCATATTAATATTATACATGGGAAAGTAAACTTGTGTGTATGCTACGCTCGCACGCCTAAATTACGTTAACTGGATTATAGTACACTAGCTCTTGCCCGCGACTTCGTCCGCGTGATATAGTTACTTTGGGCAACACATATTTTCCAAAAACGCTGTTGTTTTTGAGCTGATGAAGAAATTACCTTGATGTTTAAGTTTAAAGATAGTACAACAAAAAACCAACAAATGTCCAATATCTTTCAGCACTTTATCTTTGAAACTTTAGATATCTAATCCAATTCAATACAATTTGAAATGCGGTTCTGAAGTTTACAAAAAACTTATATACAAATAACGTATAATATATACAAAAAACGGTTCTGAAGTTTACAAAAAACTTATTCGAAAACGTAATCCACGCAAAATTATTTAAAAGGAACGTTATCGCAGATTACTTTAGAATAAACGCCATCTAGAACACAGCGCCATCTTTTGGATGTATTTGCAACCTATATGTCAAACGATATTGAAGAATTTTATTTATGAATTGCGGTACACCGCCATCTATGAGAACTTCATAAAACTAAACAGTAAATAAACACTTGCTTAAGAAACAATTAATTAGTACATTTTATTCGTTTACATTAACGACATAAGCGAATAATTGTGATGATAACTATCCTATCCAGTAAGTTGGACCAAAATACGGGTACATGTGAAATTTGATTGAAATCGGTTCAGTAGTTTTGGAGTTTATTGTCAACATACATCGTGACACAAAATTGTTATATACATAAGATAGGTTACTTTTTATTGTGATAAAAAGGTTGAAAAGGGGAATTAAATTTTCTATGAAAGATCGCTCTTGTCTAAGATAAAATCATGAAACTATGTTCCCTAAACATACACACACACATACACTTTTTACACGATATAATGAACAAATATTTGTGTTAGCGTTTTTGGAAATGCTACTAAAAGCAACTAGGCACACCACGCTGATAAAGTCGCGGGCATAAGCTATTTTGTAATACGTTTGATATAAGTATAAACAACATCGTATTTATTCAGGCATTACAAGATAAAATCTATCTATAATAATATATGATAAAGAGGACACATTTGATTGTTTGTTTATAAAAATGAACTCTTGAAACTACTGAACCGATGTTTAAAATATTTCACTCGTGGAATACTTCATCATACGCGGATGACATAGGCTATAATTTACACAAGCGAAGTCGCGGACACAGCAACAGCTTGTTAATTTATATTGAGATTACTAATAATATAATTTTAATGGGGATTAATTGATTATTTTCGTTGTTTCTGTTTCTAAAATATAAATTTTTCATTTTTGAGGGGTTTTATGTTGAGCACGTAATATCGGATGATTTTGAATGATATACTAGTTTTTGATATTGGGTATCAATATCGGAATTCCGATATTAATCATAACGAGAAGCTTTATTTTTCTGTAAGAGCAAATAAGCAAGTGAGAAAAATGCAAATGAAATAGGTAGTGAGATGATCTGTAAATTTTCTACAGAAAACGTTGTAAAATATTGGTATACATCATCTTGTAATTTCGTTTTTCAGAATAATGAACATTTTTAATTTTGTTATCTATTTTTATTAGTAAGTAGCTAATTATTCGGTTGCTAATTCTTAGAAACTTGAACTTCCGGTATCATACATCAATCTTTTTTTTTTAAATAATGAATGAGGACCGATACCTTTTTAATTTTAAAGTCTATATAGAATCACTTGAGGTCCTAGCCAAGGGTATGAAATAAAATTTCCGATATCGTCTTGGCCACCTTGGGTCTGGGTACTCTGGATGATTCTCGTTAATATAATAATTATGTTACATTTATTATTAAAACAAAATATTTAATTTATATAATAATAATATATAAGTTACTTAATACAATTCAATACTTGGTTGTCTGATAAAAAATAAAACTGTTATTCACTAGAGAAAGGTTAATAAATAACTTCAAAGTTGAAACTACAAATTATTGATCATCTGCATTATCTTCATCTAATTCTTTTTCTTTGAAAGGGTCTACCATTAGTGTCTCATCTGGTTTCCTTATAACTCCAAACTCTTCAGCCGCATCTAAACATTTCTGGGCAAGTTCTTTAGTTTTCTGTTGTTCGGGTTCTTCAAGTTTTGTAAGGGCCATCAAAATTTCCATAACATCAGTTTCAATAATTTTTGCAGTAACATCTTTATCATCTTTAATAATATTATATAACATGTAAGCACCCCTGTATTGTATTTCCTTATCTGGATTAGCCAACAGGCATCTTAAAGTGTCTACCCAAGGACCAACATCTAATAATTTTCGGCAGCAGACTTTACTAACAGAAGTCAAGATGCATAATGCACCAGCTGCTGCTTTAACTGTGTCTATATCTTCCTCTTGACAAGCGAGATACAAGAACTTCGTCTTGTCATTGTTCCCTTCATAAGTCTTAATTACTTCTTCCGATTGCAGCATATTGCAAATACATTGAGTTGCTGCACGCTGCAACATCATATGATCTTCAAACAGATAATGTTCAATCTTTGCTAAACCACCTTCTTTTAGAATTCTGGTCCTCGTAGTTTCATTCATGCCAGCCAAATTACAAAGTGCCATTAGAGCCTCGAAGTTCTCCAGTGCTGAGCATTCTGGATGTAATAAAGATAGCAAAGGTCTAACAACTTCTAAATTCCTTTGGCCAGGAAATGCCACTTCTGGATTGATAGTGATTCCAATTCTGGCTAGGGCTTGTGCAGCTTGTTTTTTGCCACTTTTTGTACCTTCTAATGACATTGGTATAAGTACTTTGGCACCACCTTGCTGTACAACAATACCTCTCAATTCAGGCAAATTACAGATTGCATTAAAAACTCTTGCAATTAGTTCTCTAGAATTGTGGCTCTCGGTTTTAGATAAAGCTACTAGACCTGTTGTAACACCAGCTTTAGCTAATACAGTAATTCTTTTGTTGATAAAATCTGGATCATCCAACTCATGTTGTTCGGGAACATGATGTTTAGCAAACTTGGCCAGTTCCAACATTTCTGGTAAAACTTCTTGTTTTTCATATGCATTGCATAAGTTGACCAATGTTGTAACAACACCATAAAGACATGACTGATCACCAGTTTTAGCCAACTCAATGAGTGATTGAATAGCTGCTCTGTCTTCCACCAGTTTTTCCTTAACATCAGCATCTAAAGTCAAATATGAAAGACCTTCTGCAGCCCATTTTCTGATATCATTTTCTTTAGTTGGATTTACCAAAAACTTTCTACAAGCATCTGCTAACTTTTTTGTTGATCCATCAGCAAATGGTCGAACTGAAGCATCATCACCACCAAAACTGCCTATCTTGCAGAGTCCCACTAATGCTCTTACTCTAACTGCATCATTCTTACAAGTATACAACTTTTTGAGTATATCAACCCCTTTATCTATTATAGATCTGGCCTTATCCTTTTTAGATGCAGCAGCTACTAAACACTCACAAGCAACTTTTTGCTGTAAAGGATCATCTGTTTGAGCCATAACTAAAATCATTTCTAGAATACCTTCTTTGGAAATAACATAATTTCCAACATCCAATGGACCACGTAGTAAAGAAGTTATTGCCACAGTAACTCTGACTTTTGATTCAAGGTCAGGTGACATAAGTTTATCCTTCACATATTCATCTACTTGACTGTTAAATTTTTCTCTTGCTTCATCATAGTACATATTCTCATAAACTCTTGCAAGGCATGCAGCAGCAACAGTTCTTGATGATGGGGTAATATTCATAGCCGATTCATATTTATATTCTTCCAATTCACTACACACAGCTAATAGACGCTGCAGTCCTTTGATCTCAACAAATCTCTCAGCCCAGTTAATTGCACTATAGTGACAGTTTCTCATTATTAATTCCATAATAGCATCTCTAGCAAGGCCAGTGATGACTGCATTTGTAATAGAATATGTTAGGCATGTCAGGAGCACATCTATTTCACTTTTGTTTTCTTCACATAATTTTGGATCAGGTTTGCTATCTTTCTTGTTGTCCATTCCGGAAAAAGTATTTAAAACAACCTGCAAGCAATACTGTGCAGAATTCACCCTTTCCTCATTATCACTATCAATGATTTCCAAAAACCAAGGTATTCCAAGAATTTTAATTATATTCCTGGTCCTTTCAATACTTCTCTTACATAATTGACTGATAACACGTATGGCATTAATATAAATCTCAGACTTCTTTTCAATTTTTAGTAACTGTTGTATTTTATGAACAACACCATTTTTTAACATAATATCAGCACCTACATTTTCTTTAGCGAGTACAAGTAGGTTACCCATTGCTTTCTCACGTTTATCTATGTCTTCATTAATGTCAAAAACCAATTTAAACATTTGTTCCACTTTATTACTAGTTTGCGCATTTTTTCGAGCACGTTCTTGAACAATTGCATGTAATCTTGACAGCACTGGTTGCACAGCTTTATTCGTAGGATCAACAGTAAATATTGTTTTAGCATCCCTATATGCTTCTTCAAATCTTCCCAAACTCTCTAACGCTTGTGAACGACGGAACAATGCTTTTGGATCTTCAGGCACAATTTCTAGAGCCCTATCACAATCTTTAATAACCCTATCATGATCATTTGTTTTCAAAAAGGCAGCAGCTCGGTTTTTTAGGTATGTAGCTAAATCTCGACTATCTTTTTCGGCAATACTGATAGCTTTAGTGTAAAATGATATCGCCTCTTCATATTTCCCCGACTTGAAAGCTTCATTGCCCTTGTTTTTATAATTTTCTGCTTCTTCTTGAGAAACACCCATGTTGATTAATATTTGTAACGTCGATTGAATAAAACACTACTACTGACTTATGGTTCACGGTTGCAATTATATACTACACGTGCTAAAATTTCTGGTAAAGTCTCGAGTGTTCATTTCGCATTTGTGACTTAAAATAGATTTTTATTTTCGTTCGTTATTTTAGGTCAACACAGAATGACAGAAACTTTTTTTTTGGTAGATTTTTCGTAAAGGCATTGTTCTCGAACGTCATAGAGCGAGATCGGTAGAGGTTCCAGCTAAAATCGGTATATTTATACCCAAAATCGGTATTTGAAAGAAATACAATATTAAATCAAATTCGTTTATTAATTGAAAAACTTACAGACTAATTTCTAACAATCACACTCAAGTATAATTGTTTATTATACCAATATTCTTCGGCCATAGCCGCTGTCATCTTCGAATTAATTTCAAAATCATAACAATTAGCTGTACTAAAGACTCGTTTTGAATGTAATAGAAAGGAAACATTTGAGTTTCATAGCCATGCTTTAGTAAACATACCTCATCCGAAAATTGTTCTACATCATCAGGAAATGTTTTGATTTGTTCACAATTTCTTAAAATGCGCCATTTTGTATCAATTTCCTGGAAATCGTTGCTTTGAACAATATTGGGAAAGAGCTTACTCAAAGAAACTATCAAAGCAGTTTCGCCAATTTTAACATTTTTTGGATCAATTATAACTAAACCTTTTATTGGATTATTTTTTCAACGGAAACCGCGTGGTTATTTGCTTACAAGATTCGTTATAAAAATCTAGGCATCTGCATTTATACAAATTTACTTGATCTAAGTTTAGATTTTCTGAACTACTTAGTAGTGTATTAGACGCAGCAGCACCATAGTATACGGCGTTAATATCTATAAAATTTCTGGGATTCTTAAAATCAACATTTTCTATTAGAGTGCTAGTTCAATATTCTCATTTTAAAAAACAATCAAAATAGTTGTAGTTAGTGTTCCAGTTATTTTCTCATATAAATTATGAATTTTCGGGTGTTCTGAATGCATTTCTTTATTTAAATCGGTAAATAATGAAAAATCTAAAAATTCCAAAAAAAATATAGTATTTTGATATTGGGCCTTCTGTAATATATGTTCTGCAGCTAAAAGATGATCATTATAAGAGATTTGGTCTATAAAAATAGTTTTAGAGCAGAGAGTTGTTCCAATATTCTCTTCACTGCTGCATGTACTGATAAACAGCGTCTTTGAGAGGGGTGAAGTATTTTATGTACTTTTAAGTCGCAAAATATTTGAAAGTTTTTAAACACTGCCACACTTTTTGGGCTAGAAGAAAAGTAGTTGTAAATGTCTCTAACAAGATCCTCTATAAAGCGTGGCAATTTGGTACAACCATATGACGCGCAAAGATGCGCACTTGAAGGTAGAATTTAATAAAAAGCTTTTACAAACAACCAAAACTTAAAAATTCCATTTATTGACAACATCAAGAAGAACAGAGTCAAAAAAAAAATTTAAACACCAAGTTGTCATTAATAAAACTATAAATTAAACAAGGAGGTTTTCAACGTAAAGGAGTTTACTCTATTATCTTCTCTCGTTGGAAACCTTTTGCAAACCAATAAGTTTATTAAGCTTGTCAAATCTTGGTCGAGGTAAAGGTTTTGTCAGTATGTCGGCTAATTGCGATTCTGCTGACACTTTGTCGACCACCAAGTCTCCTTCTAGAATCAGTTCTCTGACAAAGAAATGTCTTAGACGGATATGTTTGGTTCGGCGATGAAATTCCGGATTCTCGGCTAATCTCAAAGCAGCTTCGTTGTCAACTTGTAGTACTGGTACATGCTGCAGTTCGACTAAACCGCTAAACAAACTGGTTAGCCAGAAACACTCTCTCGCAGCTTCACTGGCTGCCACAATCTCAGCCTCCGTTGTTGAGATGGCAACACTGGTTTGTCTTCGACTTAACCATGAGACTGGTCCACCAGCATATAGACATAACACTCCTGTCGTTGATCTTCCAGTACTTATGTCGCCGCCATGGTCTGCATCACTGTAACACTCTATAATGCCTTTTTTATAATCCCTTTTATAAAATATACCCATGTCCAACGTGTATTACAAGTATCGCAGAATTCTCTTTAACTTCACCACATCAACTTGAGTTGGTTTCTCCAAATTTCTGGAAATTACACTGACTACATAGGCAATGTCTGGTCTACTTCCGACCATTAGATAAGCTAGATTTCCAACTATTTGTCTATAACACACAAGAAAATAATCATCCTTCTTTTCATTTATTTGTGGAACACTATCTTTTATTATTGGAGTTGATACAGGCTTTGAATCCTGCATACCAAATCTATGTAAGATTTTCTTAGTGTATGATGCCTGATGAATTAACACACCATCTTCTCTGTTTATAATCTCAATAACGAGAAAATAACTGGCTGGTTTTGTGGTTATTTTAAAATTCTCTTGTAGTTGCACCAAAAAACTATCAATCAACGATTGACTAGTAGCAGCAACAAGTCCATCGTCCACATACAAGGCAACGATTATTTTTCCGTCACCTGACTGCTTTTTAAACAGGCAAGGATCTGCTTCACTAATTTGGAAACCAATTTCTTTAAAGAAATGTAGAATTGTGGTGTTCCAACATCTCGGAGCTTGTTTTAAGCCATAGAAACTTTTTTTTACAAACAAACTCCTTCAGGTTGTTTCATGTATATGGTCTCATGTGATAAAGAACCATACAGGAAAGTCGTACTATTATTATTCCTCTATGGTCGTAGAGACATCAAATTGGCACATTTTTAATCCTTCGCTTGCTGCAATACTGACAACTGATCTGACTGTTGCCATTTTTGCGACAGGGCTAAAGGTTTGATCGTAATCTTCACCTCTCTTTTGACGAAACCCTTTGGCTACAAGTCTAGCTTTATATTTGTCTACAGTACCGTCAGCATTCAGCTTAATTTTATAAACCCACTTACATGAAATTGCTTTTCTGTCTTTTGGTAAGTTTTCAAGCACCCACGTTTCGTTTTGTTTTAACGACTCAATTTCACTGACCATTGCCTCCTTCCATAATTCTTTATAGGTCGTTTTAGGACAGTACGATCTCTTAGTATCCTGTCCGATTGTTCATTCACCAATCTTTCCACAGTGTCATCAGTTTCGTTATTCGAAATTGCGTCATAAAAGTCACCATCCTCATTATCAACAGAATTTCTCAAATCAGGTTCAGTATCAACTATTTCGTGATTATTCACAACTAAGCTTTCTTCTCTACTTTCAAGTTCAATATGAACAATTCTTTGATTATCATCTACTGAAGTTTCTTCTTCGTTTGTGTAACTGAATTTCTGTATCATCTTCTGTCATCAAGGATTTTTTCTTCTTATCTTTGACTTCAGACATAATTGATTTCTCATCAAACGTTACATCTCTTGATCTTACTACAGAATTAGTTTCTTTATGCCATAGTCTGTACCCATCGTCATTATCGTAACCTATTAACAGGTACTTCTTGGCTTTTTTATGTAATTTCTTCCTGTTTTCTTTAGGAACATGCACATAGCCCACTGATCCTATAATCCTCAAATGTTTGATCCGAGGTCTCTTCCCTAACCAAATTTCAAACGGTGATTTGTTTTGCTCTGTAGTTGGTCCTGTTCTATTTAAAATATATACAGCTGTATAAACCAACTCAGCCCACAATGACTCGGGAAAACCTTCGCATGCGTGCAACATCGTTCGAGCCATTTCGACAATTGTACGATTATCTCTTTCACAGCACCCGTTTTGCTCAGGGGTATATGGACATGTTAGTCTATTTTTAATACCCTCTTTCTTTAAAGTGTCTTCAAAATTTTTATTGATGAATTCACCTCCATTATCAGTCAATAATTCCTTGACAATGCGACCATGAGTCTTGGTTAAAGCAAGCATTTCCTTTAACTTCTCTGGAACTTCAGATTTCTGCTTTAAGAAATAAATGAAGCGAAATTTCGAATAGTCATCTTTAAAGAGTAGAAAATATCTGTGTTTAGATAGAGAAGGCGGAAATGGACCACAAACATCAGCATGTAATATTTCACCTGGTGATTTTGCCCTTATTCTGATGCCAAACTGTCGCCGATGTGCTTTACCGAATATACAACCTTCACACAATTCTCCCGTATCTTTAAGTTTGATGTCTAATTCTCTCTCGACCAGACTTTTCACATATCTTTTATCTTGATGACCCATTCGTTCACGGTACAGCTGCAATGTATCCACAGCAGTCACAGAAGCATTTGCTTTAGATTGCACCGCTGAGCATTTCAGCTTATAAAGTCCACCAAATATCTGTCTACGTCCTGCCACAACAACCTTCCTGTTAATTTCCATTGTGCATGACGTGATCTTTGACTGAAATAGACTGTCGGGATTCTTATCGTGTGCCGCTAACACCGAAAATAAATTTCTAGCTATACTTGGTACAAACCAAACATCTCTTAGAAAAAATTCTTCACCATTCGCTTTCATTCTTATTGTGCCTTTTCCTACAGCTTCAACTACGTCACCATTCGCTGTGGTAACAGTGTGGCGTTGATCAAAGTGTATGAAATCATAAAACGAGTCTTCACGCATCGTAACATGGTGAGTAGCCCCGTTGTCTACGTACCAAGATTCACGATCCAGACTACACTCTATAAGGCTGCTAAAGATATTCATATTGGTACTCGTAGTGCCTTCAGCTGAACTGGTGCTACTATAAACTTTTTCTTTCTTCTGAGGACAGTCCTTTCTAATGTGACCTACTTTCTTACAAATGTAGCATCTGACTTTACATCCTCCGTTTGGTTCTTTCTTGGCGCGTGCCGATGCTTTCGGTTTCACTGTGAGAGCTTCGCCAGATTTCCTGAATTCACCATCTAGGTTATTCCTCAATGCCCTTTCGTGAGAGCATAGCTGGCTAGTGATGTTTTCAACAGTACGATCCTTTTTGGACATCAACAACCAACTCGACTTGAATGAAAAATATTCTTCAGGCAAAGTATCTAGAATTTTGCATATCAACAAAAAATCTGGTAGTTTAGTTTCGTCATTTCTTGCTAGTTCTAAATGTAACTTATGCCAAATATTTTTAATCTTGGAGATGTGAGTAGATATATTTTCAGTATCAATCTTTTTATATTGGAAAAAATCCATACAGGTTTCGTACAATTCATCATCTGTTGAACCATCAAATATTCTATGTAATTCGTCCCATACATCCTTCGGGTTTGTAAATCGAATCACTTTCTCGAGCGTCTCATCATGTTGGCAACTTAATGAAATCTACATTAATTGACCGGAAGTTGACGCCGGTGACGCCATCTTGCGGCGCACAATGACGTTCACGTGCAAGATGGCGACTATATAAGCAAGCAACCGACCTAAGCATGGCAGTCTTAGTTCCGCTCGCGCTGTGACAACTAGTGTAAATTATAAA